TTTTATTGTAGGTACATTATAAATATTTATTTCAACAATAATATGAAAAATTCTTGAATTGTTTTTAAAAATTTCCAAATTATTATTACAATAAAAATTTATTTTTATTGCAGTAAACTTTAATAACATTTTTATTTACTTTTTTATTATTACTCTCTAAATTTAATTTAGTTAACAATAACTGATTTTATGGCAAAAAGTTAATCACTAATTTTAATTATATAATAATTTTGCTAATTATTTCGTTAAAAAAAGCGAATCATTAGTTTTTTGGTTATATTTCAGGTGTTTTTTTGTTATGCAAAAACAACCGAAACCTTTTTAGTATAACTGCTTCAAGTAGTCAAAATTTTTAAAATTATTTTACTAAAAAACCATTATTTTTTACTGAAAAATAAATGATCTAAGACAAATAATTTTTTTCTAGGAAAATTTAATTTTTCTTAACAAAAATTAATTTTTATTTCTAAAAAATAGTTCTTTTAGCAAAAGAATTCAGTTTTCTTTAATAAAATAATTTTTTACTAAACATATTAACATTTATTTAAAAAATTAATTGTTTTACTAACAAAATTAATTCTTACTAAACAAATAATTCTTTTAACAAAAAAAATAATTTTTTTTATTAAAAATATTAACATTTATTTAAAAAAGTAATCGTTTTGCTAAAAAGAAATATGTTTTTAAATAAAAATTAAATCTCTTTAGTAAAAAAAATTAATTTTTTTAACAAAAATTGAATTTCTTTACTAAACAAATTTTTTTTATACAAATTAAATTTTGGTCGTAAAAAAATATTTTTTATTACCTACCAATTAATTTTTCACTGAAATAATTATTTCTCTTTATAAGAATTAATTTTTTACTCAATAAAAATTTTTCTAAATGAAAATTAATTATTTTTTTTTTACTTTAAATTCGGGATCATCCATAAATAACGTTACACTGATTTTCGGGTTTTTTTACCCCCTCCCCCCCTTCGTTGCATTTGGTAGCAAATTACCAACACCCCCCCCTAAATATAACGTTGCAAAAATGACTTATACCCCCAAAAATAAGATTTATATTATTTTTCTGGATTAATGAAGTAATTTTTCTTATTTCTCATATTATTATTATTTATTAAAATTACCTCTGATAATGATTTACACAACAATAATAATTTATAATAATATTAAGAAACATTTTGCAACGTTACGTTTCAAAATCACCCACCTCCCCCCTTGTTGCAATCAGTTGCATTTTTCAACCCCCCCCCCCCTTCCCCTAATCGTGTAACGTTATTTATGGATGCTCCCTTACTTGTTTTTTTATAAATTGCTGGAACTTTAACTATATTTTAAAATCTGAACGTCTCAAAAAAATATTCTCAAATATTAGGTTTTAAATCAGTATTTTTGATTACGATCCACAATTTTTAACGTTCAAATGAACGAAATACTTTTTATTAACAATATTTTCATAAATTACTGAATGCAATAAAAATTAAAAACTTAAATTTTATATGGATTAAACTTAATAGGATTATTTTTGATTATTAATTTTAAATAATATTTATTACTTTAATTGTTTAGTAATAAAAATTATTGTTATTATTTCTTTATTTTTATTTTACTTTTGTTGTTATTATCATTAGTATTATTATTATTTTTATGTTAATATCAGATGAAATGATCAGAGTCGAGTTATCATCGGATTTAATTAATTTAAAATTAATTTAAAGTTCAAAAGTGGAATTGTTGAGGAATTTATGAAAAATACGAATAATCTAGGGGCCCTGCACTCAATTGATGCACCCCTGGACACTCGTGCATCGTCGCTCATTCCCGTGCGAAAGGGGAGGCGGATTGCTCGCCAGAATAGCTACAATAGCGCGAGTACGCGTTGCTGTTTCAGCGCTAACAAAATAGCTCCGTGCGTTAGACTGTTCTTCGGGCACGAAGTGTAAGTTGTGATTTTTTTTTTTCAATGAAATATAAAACTCCCAGAAATGTTTACATTTATCATATGGAAAAGTGAATATTGAATATTCGTGTAAACGATTAATGTCCCGACAATACTCGATACACTAGTATGTGGGTGTCCCGAGAGGTATAGAGGAGTGCTGAGTGTTGAGAGATCCGACGGTAGTGTTACTTGATTTTTCCAAAGTTCATTATCTAACCTTTTTTTGTGTGTGCCTATAACAGTGTTGACGACAATGACGAATTAATAATGTCAGAGAATTGAGAGATTTTGTGAGGAGGGCGGGGTTTTCTCATTCATTTGGATATTATATTTCTCATTTGACGTGGTTTTAGTTTTTGGAAAGTTGTAGGCTGCCTTACCGAGCGTCGTCTCGAGTGTATATCGTGTATATTGTAGCTTTCGTGAAAGAGAGAACGAGATGGTGAGTTGAGTGAGAGAGGCAGAAAAAAAGTCGAAACACGACAAGAGGGTAATACCGTCCTTTCCTCGTGTTTTTCGCGCCTCAGAATTGTTGGCTGACCTTTCGGAACGTGTCGAGGGTGAAGGGGAGCGCCACTCCGCAAGGAATTCGTGTTTTCGCTGTCGAAATAGCACAACCTATACTGACGATTGAATAGATACTTTGTGTTTTTAGAGATTTTTTTTCTTTTTTTAGGGGATCTCTCTCTTCTATTATAACCTCTATTACGTTTCGCGAGGTGTCTCCCCCCCTCCCCTTTTTCCCTATCTCTTGCAGTGCAAAGTGGAAAAATGTTTTTTCCCCGAGTCATTTCGGAGCAAGTACCGTTTGGAGTTACAAAATTTCCGCGTTACGTTTCTTGAAGTCAGTGCCTAGGCTTTCTGCTCTAATAATGATCACTTCCGGTTAAGTATTGCTGTGCAGGTTATTTTACTTGAAACTTACTACCTGTGGTTTTCTCTATTTGAAAAAAAAGAATAATAGTTGGATTAAATTTTGATTTGTTGCGTCAAAAGTTTGCGAATTATATTTATTTTTCCAGAGTTTTTATGAAACACTTGAGGTCTTTTTATAAAGTGATTATTATTCAAGTGCATATTTGTACGTTTTGAATAAATGTAAATCATAATAGGTCAAAAGTTTGTTATGATGTTAGTTTTACTGTTGCAGCATTAAAAGTGAACTTAATCGATTATAATATGGAGTTTAGATAGTTATAGACTCTTGTGAAATAATAATAAGTTTGTGTGATATATCGTCCTTCGTTGCATATATTTTCATTATTTCAAATATTGATATTTTGACAAAAAAAAATTGTCTTATTTTACGAGCAAGTTTTTCCTTCTCTAAAGTGTTTTAAACTCTTTTTATTTGCTTTCACTACAATTACGTGAGTTTTTATTGAAATATTTACATTTCTATTTGTAATATTTATAATATTACTTTAGATTCAATGCATTTAAATTGTAACTAAAATTTATAAAAATTATATATTTTTATATTTATTTGTATTTAAAGTATTCATTTTTTATTTCTGTTTAATTTTTATTTGTATTTATTTTTGTTTGTATTAATTTTGGCCTGTTTTCTATTTTCATGTTCACTCTTTATTTTTTAATTTTACAAATTATTTTCATGTCGAAACGTTAGGAAAGTTGCAATTTAGTTCGTAATCAAATTGAACGGTGAAATAATTACAAAAGCTACATTATAATAATAATTGAATTTCATATCTTTAATTAAATAAATACGTTACGGAAAGAATAGAATAAAGTAATAAAACAATTTTTTTAGTAACTTGGATAAGTTTCGCAAATACCATAATCTCAAATAGGTGTTGATTAGATAGGAAATTATCATTAAATTAAAAAAGAAACCGAAGAAAGTATCACTTTGCGTTAGCTTCCATTTTTACATATGTTAAATATAAAATTTTATTAGATTACAAATTTTTTTTTAAATTATCAATAATATGAAATTTTATGACAAAGCAAAAATATTTTTAATTAATCGATAATTTAGAAATTAATTTAATCTCCAACTTAAATCTTTTGCAGTGAAAGTAATTAAAATTTTTTATGTTTGGCAACATTGGATCTGCGACCTTGTCCGAATAATGAAGGGTGTTTTTTTATAAAGCTTTTTTCTTCTCGCGACATTCATTAATGAGTTAATTAATGATTTTATCTGCTTCTACAATATTGTATGGAAAATTATTTCCTTTATTATCAATTCTTTTTTGTCATTGTATCTATTTTGAAATTGAATTTTCAATCGTGAATATTGCATTTCTTTTTTCTTGAATCTTTAGTTTCCAATTTGTAGAAAGTTAGAGTCGTATATTTATTTTGGATGCAAATAAATTGACAGTTTTATGTGGATCTAAGGAAACCTTGTAATTCTATAAATCTTGTTTGTTTTGTAGGATTTAAAAAAGAAAAAAATGGTAACAGTAAAGAAGGGGTGGAAGTTAGTATTATTGAATTAAATGGAAAATTTCTGCTAATACAAATTGACGTTGGAATGGTATTTAAAAATATTTTTTTTTCCTTTTGCAATGCCAAAAACTAAATGAAGATTTATATTTTTGTTGTCTCCTACTTCGACATTCTCTGTCATCCACTATTTATAGTTACGTAAATATTAAAGTACAACGAACGAGAGTTAAAAAAAAATTCTTCTTTCTTTCTTTGCTGATTTAAAAAATTTTTAATATGCTGAAAAAGTATAAAAGGAGATGTTGATGATAATAATGTGCAAAAGAAAAAAAAACCTGCACACTAAATATGGAATATCGGCGAATGTTAATGACTTAATATGGCTGGACTTCCTTGAATCACTTTATTGTTGCCTTCATTTAAATAACAATGTAACTTTGAGTAGCTTAAATTACCCCCTTTACATCGTCATATGAATTATTAGAATTAACAACAAGTTTTGTCGTGAAATTCCTTCATTTACACGTAATTGAATTATTGTCACGGAAGCGATTTTTGATTAGATTATGTAGTTTTTTCTGAATTCCATTTGAAATTTTTTATTGTGGAATTAAAATTTATTTTTTTCATTGCAGATCTCTACTGGCATGGAGCTAGGAGCGCACTGATAGTGATAGTCTACGAGGTAAATATACTTCTTTAATTTGAGACACTTTTCTTAGTCTTCTTCGAAACATAACGAATTTAAAAAAAGAAAATATTTTTATTTAAAATAATAATGCTGTCAAAGTTCTGAAAAAGAATTTTTTTAAAAATTTATTTATAATGTTTCAATTCGAAATGTATAATTTCTTATCAATTTTTGTGTTGTATTTTTTGAAAATATTTAAACATTGTAACTTCGTTTACAGAGTGGCCACATGTCAGTAAATGTTAGGAAAAAAATTTGTTGTCAGGGAAATTTAGAAGATTGAGATTTTTTTCGACTTATTTTCAAAAATTACGACTTTTTAAAATTTTGTTCAAAATATTGCAATAATTTTTAGTATAAAATGCAACTTATTTCGATATTTATACATATGTAGTGTAAAAAATAACTATAGACAAATCTTCAAAAATTATTTTTTAATAATTTTTCTAATTAAATTGTTAAAATTTACAATTAAAAGAGCTTCAATATTTGAAATTTTGTAAAATTTAATTGAAAATAATTGATTTTTTTCAAAGTGTTTTGTAGAAATTTTTGAAAATCAACTTTTGAAGAATTTTAATTGCAAATTTAAAAAATCATTGATTTCTCAAAAATTGTAATGAAAAATCTTCAAGTGTAAATTTAAAAATGATAATTAATGAAAATTAACTACTAAAAATTCTATTAAAATATTTTTGAAAAAAATAATTCTTAGAATTTTTGCATTCTATTTTTTTTAAAATTCAATTATTTTCAATATTTTCAAATACAAATTTCCAAAAATTCAAATACGTACAAAAAATAATGACATTAAAATTTTTTACAATTATTTTTAACATATTAACAACATAACAATCATGTTCAAAATTTTAAATCAAAATTCTTCAAAAAATTAGTTTTTTTTTAAATTATAAAAAAAATCTTTTAAGAAATTCAATTGTTTTCGAAAAATTACATTACAATATTTAAAAAAAAACTTTTTCTTTTAATTTTTTTATCTTAATTTTTTCAGATTCAATTAACTTCGAACAAAGTAATTTAAAATTTTTTTAAATTTACTTTTTTAGATTTATTAAAATTTTAGAAAAATCACGTTTATATTAATAATTAAAATTCTTCAAATATTCAATTATTTTTTTAATAGAATTTACCAAATTTCAATTGTTTGGAAATTTTTCAATTGTATATAATTGGAAACTACTTTTTAAAAAATTAATTTTAAGAATTTCTTTATTATAAATTTTTGAAAATTAATTAATAACTTTAAAAAAAACATGGTCAGTTACAATTATTATAAAAAATTGAATTTTTGTATTTAAGTAATAAAAAATTTTCTTGAAAAATCTGTAAACGTAAATTTTAAAATGAAAATTAATGAAAATTATCTTCTAATTTTTTAAAATTTAGTATTTTTATTATTTTCAATTACATATTTCTGAAAATTCAAATACATACAAAAAATAATAACATTTTAGAATTATTTTCAACATTTTGGAGAAAAAAATCATATTCAAAATATTTCGTTCAAATTCAACAAAAAAATTAATTAGTTTTTTTTTTGAATAATACAAAAAATCTTTGAAGAAATTCAATTGTTTTCGAAAAATTACATTAAAATATTTTTAAAAATTACTTAATTCTTAGAATTTTTTTTATCATTATCATAAGATTTAATTATCTTCGAATAAAGCAAATAAAAATTCACCTTTTTTAGGCTTATTAAAATTTCGGAGAAATTATGGTCACATTTATAATTAAAATTCTTCAAATAATTGATTATTTTTTGAAAATATTATACCTTTTAGCTTAAGAAAAAAACATGGACAGTTACAATTATTATATTGAATTTTCGTATTAGAATAATATTTAATTCACGAAGAACTTTCGGAAAATTATTTATAAAATAATTGATTTAGAGACGAAGTTTTTTTGAAAATTATAGAAAATAATGAAAATAATTGAATTCAGGAAGGGTTATAATTATAATTTTTCGAAATTATTAAATTTTATAAATTTTACTCATTTTCCGGAAACTTTCATATTTTCCTGTGTAAAGAATTTTCTCAAAAGAAATAATTTTAATGTCAGTAAAATGTCAAGGAAATTGATGAACTGACACTTGTAACCACCCTATGGTTTTATAGCGTTCTAAACTTTAGAAAAAAAAATTTTTTTCAATTGTTTGCAGACTTAATTAAAATTTACAAAATTGACTAGAAATATTGTGTAAAGAAAATAAAATTAATTTCGTTTTTTCTTTAACAGATCTTGGTTTCTATGCATTGCCTGCCAAAGAAGAACTGAGCCCAATGTTTCCACACAATTCTAGTTCACATGAGATTTCTACCGAAACAAATGCCTTCGTACAAAATTCCAAGGTAAACAAGACTATTCTTATTATTCTTTGATAAAACTTTATGTACTAAATAATCTACAGTCCGATTCACTTGTTGATATATAAATTATTGTTTTCTGGCCATATTATGCAACTAGAGACAATTATTTGTACCTTTATGAATTATTTGCTACTTTTACGATATTTGTTTAATTTTGTAAAGAAGTTTTTCTTTTTAAAATATATGAAGTGGAGTATTTAGTATTTTGTAAACAATATTTTTTAGGGAGATGTAGTAGTATTAGAGGGAAGCAGTCTGAGTGGGGTGGGGGAGGGGAACGGACCAGAGCACGCTAGGTACTGTGATATCAAATCCATAAACAGCAGCATGATGGCAGCACCTACCAGCCACCCCGAAGCTACCGCCGCCAATGACTTCTTAACCGTCCTGTCGAGCCATTCTGGTGAGTTTTTTTTCATTTTTTTTTTTCTACTACAACCTTAATTTCCATTCTATATTCTACTCTAATTTCAAGGTCGTTAATGGCCAGCTAAAGTGACTCTAGAATTAAAGCAAATTGAGATGACCTAATTAAATACAGAAGCTGAAGAGAATTACAAGTTCAGCTTCTCTGTCTGTGGAAAAAAGTAGTTTGTTTATGCACTTTAAAGTCGAAATTTTGATTTCTATTTTGTATTGAGCTTGACAATTTTTTAGTTCCCTGCCTATTTAAAATTATTTTTATTAAACATTTATTTATTATTTTAAGTTGTCTGAAGTTTCTGAAATTAGCGTCGACACTGGGCGAATGGAAATTGAAATTAGCGACATTTTTGTGTCTAAGAACTTCCAAATAACAATTTTCGGCGGTTAGTGTCGACATTAAAATCGTCCATTTTGATTTTGTAGAAACAATGCGAATTTCCTATGTACACTCTAAATCTGAATCTGTGAAAATTTCACTCATTTCAATTCAGTGGACGAGTTTTCTTTGATGAATCAGTGGAATTAAAGAAAACTGGTTCACTGAATTTAAATCAGTGAAATTTTAATTGATTCAAATTTAGAATGTAGGCAGAGAGTTAATTTTCCTTTTTCTTGGTCTTCTTATTTTGCTTTTGTAGATGTAAACAAAGAGTAGATTTTTATAGAAATGTTGATGAAATTTAAACCCCTGGCTTGTTTAAAATTTATAATTTGAATGCTTGTCCGAAGGGTTACCTACGGAACACTTGGTCGAGAATTAGTTACTTACAGTTACTGCACTTTTTTTAAATGTTAGGTTTCGCAATAAGAAGAAATATTTTTGCGCAGTGCAGCAAATTTTGTTAGTCGACAGTTTTTTTTTCCTGTCCCCTTAATTTGTAAATTAGCTGCTTGTGAGTCAGCGAATTTTCATGTACGGTATTCCTGTACGTAACACTTAAAGTAGACCTGTAATAAAAAAGCAATGACCGAATACCATAAGGAAACGATTTTCGTGTTTATAATTTAGATTACAGTTGAAAAAGCAGAGAATTTCCGTTTCTAAACTGAAACATCTGAACTTTAGACCAGCTTAAGTTTAAGTGTTAACATATTTTAATTAGCGTCGACATTAAGCGTCAAATAACGCCTTTTCAAAACAGAAAAGAAACAAAACTTAATTTTTTTGAAGACTTAGATTGCTAACATTAACGTCGAAGCTCAGCGTCGAAAAACGTTTTTTTTTTCGCAAAAATGAAAAGAATAAAATAATTATTTTCAAAAAATGTTTTTAAAAAATGCGGGGTTATCAGGGAAAAGTCAGGAAATTTTATTACAAGTACTGGAAAAAAGTTAAATTTTGAATTTTGGTCTAAAACCTTTGAAAATATTAAAAAAGAATTAATTCTTCTTAAATTTATTTTTGTTTGCCTTCTAAACTTCGAAATCACAAAAAAAACGTAAATTTTTTTATTTATGACAATATTTAAACTTTACAGAATATGAAATTGGATTTATTTAAAATAATTCAACTCCTAAAAAAACTATTGTAAAATTATTACTAATAAATTATTTAATGAATAATTATTCATAATATCAAAGAAAATTGAATTCTATAAGAGTTGCATTTTAAATTTTCACAAATTATTGAATTTAAAAAAGTTTCAAATTGAAATTTTAGAAAATTTAAATTTGTAATGAATTTAATTAGAAATTTTGTTGAAATTACCTAATCTTTTAAAAAATTTTAATTTGAGTTGTTTTGAAATTAGTTGATTTTCCTAATATATATTTAATTATTAAAAATAATTTATTTATAAAGAAAATTTTCTAAAAATTATTAAAAATAATTGATTTAGAGAAAAATGTTCTAAAAATTATTAAAAACAATTGATTTAGAGAAGAATTTTCTAAAGATTATTAAAAATAATTGAATTAGAGAAAAATTATCTAAAAATTGATAAAAACAATTGATTCAGAGAAGAATTTTAGTCAAAAGTTTTAAAAAAGAATTTTATTTTGAAAAGGTTTCAAATTAAAATCTTTGAAAATCTGTATTTTTAATACTTTTGGTTAACAATTCTGTAGAACAAATTTTTTTGAAATATTTCAATTCAAATTCATTTGAAATTAATTGAATTTTTTATTTTTTAATATATATTTAAAAATTTTCGAATTTTCGAATAATTGAAATATCATAAAATAAAATTGTAGAGAAATAAATTTCAAAATTAATTTAGAAGAACTTTCTTTATTCTTTGAATAATTGAATTTTCAAAGAACTTTGTCAAAAATTATTAAATATAAGTGACTTTAGAGAAGAATTTTATTTAAAAATTCTAGAAAATTGAATCGAAAAGATAAAAATAATTACAGTAGTAATTACAGTAGTAATTTTACAAATATAGAAATCTGCAATTGAGAAATAAAAATATTAGGATATCTTTTTGAGTATCTGGTAATTTTTAGAGTGAAGTAGAATATTTTTTAGGGTCAGAGAAAAATTTGTGTGGCAACCCTGAAGTGATTTGAACTTATATTTTACTACCGAAGTGAAATTAGTGACATTTTCATTTCTAAAAACCCTAAAAAATAGTTTCTGATGCTGAGTGTCGACGCTAACTTCGACTTTGTATCTAAGTACCTTGGAAAATAATTTAGTTTTTTAGGTGGATAAAAGAAGTAAAAGTAGTGACATTTTTTTCTCTAAAATCCCCGAGGTTAACTGCAGGGATTTTTTATTTTTATGTACAAGGATCGCCGTGATATCTTTTGTTTTTTTTAGTGAAATGGTATTCGGAGATTTATTAGAAGTAGGACAAAGAGTTTGGAGATTAGACTATATTAGAGTATTTTACTGGATTAGGAGTTATTGAAAAAAGTTGATTTTGTTTTTGTTTTGAAATTGCAGGTGAGTTCAGCTCAGCCAGCATCGGCGAGGCCCGCCAGTCAGTGGCGCCAGCAACCACAAAAAACCCAACAAATCACCTTCTAACCTATGATAATAATAATAAAGTAAATAACCACAACAACAATGCAGAACATAATCATCACAGAAAGCAAAACACACTGAGCTTGCTTGGTCAGCTGGGCAGCTCTGCCGATAACTCTAAGTCTACTTGTAAGCCGTTAAGTGATAATAAGGATAGCTTTAGAGATCTAAGCATTAGGGTACTAAAGATAAGTCTATATCTAAATGTTAGGAGGGGTGATGCGCGCTATCCCGCTGGGGTACCTAGCCTAGTTAGGATACCCAAGTCTGATTACCCCCAGCGGCTGCCGCATCTCGCTGACTCTGTCGACAATTACTCCTTACTAGGGTCCCGCCTTTGCACAGGCGACAACAATAACCTTAAGGCTAATCTTAGTTTCGTAAGTAATAATAACTCCAAGTCTGTGATATTGCTCAGCTCAACCAGTTACGGTGATTATTATCTTCTTCTCGACAAGAACAACAAAAACAACAAGAGCCTTGCCGAAGATTCTTACTTTATTGACGTCTTGGAAAGCACGAAATCACTAAACGGTAACCGCTCTCTGATTAGCGATCTCGCGCACATCCGACGATGCAGTCAACCAACAACAACAACAACAACAACAAGAAACACGGCAAAAAGTGTCTTTGAATTGCAATATTGTTCGAATGAAAGCACTACTCTCGAGACAAGATTGTTCCCCGCTTACGCTCAGAATTTCGCGGCGCATTCCGCCAGTTCTTCCATTACGCTTATCGTTTCCAAAAACGAAATCACCGACCACGCTCTGCAATCTTTCCTAGAGAGTCTCACACGAGTCCGAGAATCATCTACTTCTCCACTAGGGCACGTCACCGTGACCGAGCTGACGCAACGCATATGTGTTCCATTATTGATAGAATCTAAGCGTTATGATAACGACGTTGGTAATAATTATTGTAATAATAATGATGATGATGATGATGATAACAATAGCGTTAGGTGTATCGGTGAAGAAATGAATATTAGAAACAATAATCCAGATGTTATCCAAGACATTGTTAACGTCGCTGTGTGCTACAAGACTAGTTGTAAAATGACTACTAATGTTAGGACATTAGGGTCTCAAAATGATGGTATTAGCTGTACCGAAGCAACAATGTTTACTGTTGGTGCTCTTTCATTTCAGGATAACGATAAGTCTAACAAGCCTCTAAACGCTAGCTTTAAGAATGATAAGTATCAAGTGTCTACTAAGGTTGGTCATGAATCTAACTCTAATGTTAAGTCTGTATCTAAGTCTAGCGATAAGTCTGATATGTCTCGTACCATTCGGCACGACAAATACAATGACAAAGAGGAAAATTTACTGTCGGCCGTCAACATTCCTACATTGACTACCTGCGAGCCTACGATGACGCTTAATTGCCAATCAGCCACCGTCACATCCCAAACAATTGCTGTTTCTGTACCTGTTTCTCAAAATGAGAATTGCTCGAACGATGACGATGACGATGACGATGAAAAAATTTTGACAAATGTTGACAATGATGATAATAACAATATTGATACTAGATCGATATCAAAAATCGACAATGACAATTTGATTTCAAGAAACGAATCAAAAATGGACCTTTTATCACACGCACCCAATTCTCTTATCAAATCACATGACAAATCGAATAACGAATCATCTCAATTGATCAACTATATTCGCACCCTCATTCCAGCATATCAAAAAGCTTACCAAAACGACAAAAACAACTGTGAAATTGAACGTCAACGACTGAATGTTGCCTTGAATACTCTATTTAGCCGACCGTTGCGTAAATGTAACGAAATTCTTAAACCAATTATCGATTATAAACGACGATGGGGAATTCCCGTGATTTGCCGCTTAATTGGCGGCGGTGAGAGTTCATTGAATACGAGTGGAACTGCTAATTGGGGAACATCTCAAGCAACAACGCCGAATAATAACAATGCAACGCAATCGGGTTGGGGTGGAACGCCCGGCAATCCACCGGGCAACAGTGGACCGCCAAATAATTGGGGTGGAAACAATGTGAATCGACCTCAATCGATTACTGGCAATCCAAATCAAAATAATCAAGGCCCACCTGGCAATCAGAACAATCAGGGAAATGTTAATAAAACGAACAATGCAAATCCACCGCAAAACTCACAAACTGGACCGCCGACATCGCAATCGAACAACACGGTTCAAGGTGGTAATCAGAACAACGCCTCGTGGCCGCAAGGGAAACCGAATAATCCTGTTGGACCGGGACCGAATCAAACAACGCAGAACAACAACAGTAATAATGTGCCACAACAACAATCGTCCACGCCCAATGCCAATAATAATCAAATTAGTAATTCTAATCAAGGACCGGTTGCTGCCACCACGCCAACAACCACCAATCCATCGACCAAGCAACAATTGGAACAACTCAACACCATGAGGGAGGCACTATTCAGTCAGGATGGCTGGGGCTGTGTGAGTATTCAATTTTACACAATTTTTATCACATTTACACTCTTGCTTTCATTTAGTTGAAAATAATTCACCTAGACTGAAAACAAAATTTATTTTATTCAAATAACCGATTACTTGAAATATTATCAGGAAATTCAGAGAAAAGTCAAGGAAATTAAATTGCTCAGGAAAATCAGGGAAAGGTCAGGGAATTTTACAAAAAGTACTGGAAAGAGTATTAAATTTTTAAATTGATGAAAAATCTTACTTTTTGGTGTCCAGCAATCTTCGAAAATATTTTTAAAAAAATTTTTTTAACATTTAGAATTAGCTTTCAAAAATTTCGATAAATCAGAATCCTGAAAAATTATTGTTTTCTAAAGTTATTGAGCTTATTCTTGAAATATAATTTTACTTAAATATTTCAAAATTAATTGAATTTTAAAAAAGTTGTGTTTACAATTCTCATAAATGTAGATGAACTTCAAATGGTTTTAATTTGAAATTTTGAATGAATTAATTAAATAATAAAAATTTCACACAAAATTCTATTATTTACAAATTTTTTATAAATTTCTCTTAATTCAATTATTTTCGTAAATAATCAAATTTTTTACAGAGATTCAATTATTTTCATAAATAATAAAATTCTTTATAGGTTTTCAATTATTTTCAAAAATGATAAAACTTATCGCAGAATTTCAATTATTTTTAATACAATTAATTAATACAATTAAATAATTGAATTTAATACAATTCAAATTCAATTATTTTAAAAAGCTTTCCTATAATTCATTTATTATAATTCAAGTATTACTGTCAATACATTTTTAATTAAATTTCTTGAAAAAATTAAATTATTTTCAAAATTTTAATGAAATTCTTTTTAACAATTCAATTTTTTTTCAAAATAATTTTATTAAAATTCTTCGTAGAAATTTAATAAATTTCAATAATTTATCAAAATTCAATTATTTTCAATATCTATTTGAATAAAATTTCACAAAAGAATTGAATTATTTAAAAATAAATATTATTAAAATTCATCTCAAGAATTAAATTATTTCTAAAAGTAATAAAATTCTTCGCAGAAATTGTACACAAACGTTTCAAAAAATTCTCGTAAAAATTTCAATTATCTTTATAAATAATAAAAAATTTCTCTAAAAATGAATTATTTTCCAAAATTTTAATTAAAGTCTTGGCAAAATTTTAATTATTTTCAAAAACTTTTCTCAATTCAATCAAATTTTTTACAGAGATTCAATAATTTTCAATACAATTTTAATCTAATTTCTCGAAAAATGAAATTATTCTTAAAAATTTTATTCAAATTCGTCAAAAGAATTTTAATTACCTATTTAAAAATTTGTTGATAAAATTCTTTGGGAGAGTTCTATTTTGAGAAACATTCAATTCTTCAATAAATTATTTATTTTTGTATTTCAATAATTTAATTCTCGTAGAATTTTCTAATTAAAATTGATTTAAATATGAATTTCAGTTAATTTTTTAGATAATAATTGAATATTAAAGTCTCTAAATTTTAATTACATATTAAAATTGTTTTCTAATTTGAGTTAGTGACTGACTTTTTGCTTTTGAATTAGCAGTTTTTACTAATAAATAGTCGTTTTTACTAATTTAATAGTAGAATTTACTAATTCAAAAGCAAAAAGTCTAATTCCAATTCTTAAAAATTGTATTAAAATTCTTCTAAAGAATTCAATTATTTTCGAAGATTTTAATAGAATTCTTTATAAGAATTCAATTTAATTTTAATTATAATTTTAGACATTAACTAAATATTAGAAGCGTTATTTTTATGAATTTTTAAAAACAATTAAATTTCAAAAGATTTTTTATCCAGGATATGGATAAGGTTAAATTGTATAATTTTTCGTTTGAAAAGAAATTAATTTTCTTTTAATCTCGTTATGAACTAAAGTAAATTTTAAAAGAGTTGCTCCCACAATTATTTATAAATAATTAAATTTGAGAAAATTTTAATTAAAATTTTTAATTTTTGTGAAAAAATAATAAAAACAATTGAATTTTTTTTATATAAATGAAATAAATTGTATTTGGACTAATAATGTCAGTAGTTTAAATTAATTAAAAGTTAATTAGATTATATTAAGATAGGGTAGGGTGGGGCATTACTATTCGCGGGGCGTAACTATTCTTTGTCCTGGAGAGAAAACTATTCATCCGATTAAAGTTTTTTTTACACTGTATACACGGAGAGAAAAAAAAGTAAGCGGCTCTACCTGTCGGTAGAGCGGTTGCGTTAAATGCGAAACAGCCGTTCAACTTGAGGTTAAGCACGCTGCTTACTCTCGAGGGGAGAACGGTTCTCCTTTTTGGGAAAAGCGGGTACACTTTTTGGAAAGTAAGCGGCTCTATTTGTGTGGAGAAGAGAACCGATACTCCCCAAAAAGTATAACCGTTCGACGTTTGCGGCGCAACTGCTGCGCTTTATAAAGGGAAAACAGCGCTCTCTTGCCAAATCAAACGGCTCACTTTTTTTTCTCTCCGTGTACTTGTCATGTGAAATGAACATTGTACGCCACATTTGAGCTTCTGGCGCCATCTATCATTGGAGTTAGGTACCCAAATGTGATTTTGATATACTCGCTTACTTGTTTTCACTCATTTAGTCTGCCATTGTAAATAGTGATAAACGGTCGGAAAAATTATCGGAAAAATTATTTCTAAAGTCAAATTTAGTGCTGAACACGAATATCATAATGGATTTTTGATATTCTATTGTTCAAAAATTTTACAAGTGTTTTTTCAAAAAATGGGCGGATGGGGCGTAACTATTCTTCCACTGATGACAGCAAAAACTACAAAACAGTGTATTTTTTTGTGTGTGCTTGTTTCTAGGTTAGAATTGTAAGAAATTGGAAGAAAAAAACCAGAAAAAATCCTCCAATTAACAAATTAATTTATATATTTTTTTAGTATTATATCATTAATAGCTGCAAGAATAGTTACGCCCCTCGTTTTTTTCGACATCAAAAAAATTTTTTTTTCGTAAAATCGCTGTAGTTCGGAACAGAATCGAGTTACAGCAAAATGATACATGGCAAAATTGTAGCTAAGAAGTCAAGCTTTCAAACGGTTCTACTCATTTTTTTATTTTTTTTTATATACATTTTATAGACTCAAAAATCCAAACAAGAATAGTAATGCCCCACCCTACCCTATATATTAAAAATTAATTGAAACAATTTAATTGACTTGAATAAAAATTATTTGATGGAAATAAATATTTACTCGATAATAGACAAATGATCGTTTATTTCAATCAAATAAATTATTATTATTTCAATGTTAAGTTTTTAAACTAATTGTCAGTTAAATTTAAATACATTTAAATCAGAATAAAATAACTGAAATTTCAGTTAACTAATTCTGCAGTGAAAGAAAATATTTATCAAATTTTATAAAAGTATTTCACAAGTTTGGAACAATGTTATAAAAAGTGAAATTTTAGTAAAAATACTTTTATAAATTGTATAATTTTTTCAAATTACTAGTCAAATTTGATTGTTTCATCATTTATTTATTTAATTACTTATTTTAAATTTTACTAACAATTAGATATTTTTGCCTAATTCAAATTTAAAGAACAAACAATCTAAAAGTAAAACAGAAGATTTTTTTAATGAAAAAGATTCCATGTCCCAGTTCTATTCAGTTTAATTTAAATGATAATTTTGTAAAAAAAAAATCGTTTTCCTAAATCTCTTCAGGTAGACTAGTAATTTCATTCTGCTGCGACAAAAATAAACATTTTTAAAAAAGGAATTAAATAAGTAATACAAGAAATCTTAAAAAAAAACGAACAAAAACTGGGACAAGGTTTCTACAATACTTGGAAAATCTCAAATATCTGAAGTTCTCGTGGAATTTTATTTTGATTTATAAAATCATGTAAATCCCTTTGGAATTTTTATTTAATACATTTATGGAAATTTATTTTTATTTTATTTGACTTTGTGAAAAATTTTTATTTCACTTTGTGAAAACTTTTATTCAACTTGGGATTTGAATAGAATTTTCATATTTTCTTTGAACAATATTCTTAATTAATTTGCAATATAAACGAAATTTTCATTTAATGCAATATATCTTTTGATACGATTTTCCCTTGAAAGTATTTCCACGAGAAGAATTGAATTTTCGTTCGTGTGTCACTGTGATCAATAAAGCTATGTCTTTTTTAAATTACGCTATAAAATTAATCATATTTCGAACATTTTACATGCTTCTCTTAAAAGAAATTGATCAATTTTTAAATTAATACTAAAATATTTCTCAATGAATGTTTGTTCCAATAAAACGTGTATGGATAACAATTGAAAATGTTGTAATTTTGATTTTTCATTTGCTAGAATTTCCTTTTAGATTAACTTTTATTTTTCAAAGTGTTCTATTGATTTTGAAATAATTCCAAGTTTTAATTGAAAATTTTTTTAAGGAATTATTACATCAATTTTTGTTTAACAAAATAGAAATAAGAAATCTTAAATTTCTCTGGAAGTACACTCAAATCTCGCTATAACGACCTTCTCTATAACGAGCGCTCTCTATAACGAGAAAAATTTTCTTCCTATTACCCCCACTATTTATAAACAAATGCACATTCTGTTGATTTAAATTTGGTTAAAATCAATTTTATTTATATCATAATGAGCATAAAAAGTCACTTCTTTTTTTAAATTAAATCAATGAGTCGAAAATCTTCAAAATTTTAGCTTATATAAATTTTCTGTATGTTGAAGTTCAAATTAAACTAGGTTATGTTTGTAATTTTGACATTACGTAAATTGTAAACACAAAAAAAATGAATGAAGAATCTTAAAAGTGGGGATTTTTCATTTCTCCTCTTGCGCTCGTAATAGAGGGAGACTTGACTCCCGAACTTCTCGTTATAGCGAGATTCGAGTGTAATAAGAAAATTCTGAATTTAGAATTATAATTAAATTGTAATTTAATTCTTAAAAAACAATCATAAAATTATTACTTAACAATTCCAATGAATAATTTAATGTTCGTAGATTTGCGTTTACAATTTTTATAAATAATTGAATTTCAAAAAGTTTCAAATTAAAGTTTTAGAAAATTTTAAATGAGAACTCTGAAAAAGTTAGTTTTTTGAACAATTTTCATTCAAATTTTTGTTAAATTACTTGAATTTTTTAAAATAAATATTTAATTGAAAAATTTTTGAATAATTGTAATTTCATGAAATTGAATTGTAAACAAGTGAATTTCAGAAATATTTTAGAATAACTTTTTTTCCTTGAATAATTGAATTTTTAAAGAACTTTCTCAAAGATTATTTCAAATAATTTATTTAGAGAAGAATTTTAGTTAAAAATTCGAGAAATTAATTGAATTGGAGCCTTGAAGATAATTTCGAAGAAGTTATAGCAACAATTTTTAAATATAGATTATCGAATTTCAGAATTTTAAAAAATTTTAATTTCTATTGAAAAATAATAATAATAATAATAATAATAATAATAATGATTACATATTTGTCTAAAAACAAATTTTTTATGTTGCGTATAAGATACTCAGAAATAAATGTTTACAAACATTTTTTTATGTGTCAAATAATTTTTGGAGTTAATCAGAATATTTTTTAGAGGGAAAAAATCAAAATTCTGTCCGGAAATCACGTGAAAACAAAATCAAATTTTTATGGCAATCCTGATTTTGTTCATAAATTTATAGCATGTTGAGACATGGGAATATATTTTTACATAAATATTCGCTTGTTAAATAATTATCCATGCAAGAAAAAAATTCAAGAACTCTGAACCATTAGACGGTTTGATTTATAAAACCGTTTTTACTGATATGTGTTCTACAATTGTATTTAGAAAAGGCAAAGTAAATTTTTTTTACAGTCTTTAAAAATTTTGTTTGAATTTAAATAAACACAAGACAATTATTTTTGAATGGTTTAGAGAATTGTTTTTCATTTGTCTTCTTTTTGTTATTGAAAACCAGCAACATGTGAATCAAGACACAAATTGGGATGTGCCAACATCCCCTGAGCCAAGTTTAACCAAAGATGGCGTGCCAATGTGGAAACCAGCAGTGAATAACGGTACTGATTTATGGGAAGTAAATTTGCGCAATGGTGGACAACCACCCCCTCAACCTCAAGCTAAAACTCCATGGGGTCATACACCATCGACAAATATTGGTGGCACATGGGGCGAGGATGACGAAGCTGCCGATTCATCAAATATGTGGACTGGAGCACCTGCACCTAGTCAACCAAATACTCCACAGTGGCCGGGTGCTACCGGTAATCAAACCGGTAGGTGGAGTGGTGGTGGTGGAGGAGGAGCAGGAGGAGGAGGTATGCTATGTGAAGGCTGGAGGTGCCACTTGTTTAACAGGAATGTTTGTCTAAAAAATTCACTCTATTTTTCTCTTAAATCTAAATATTTACACGTTTTTATATTTCTCTTTAGTCGTGCTTACATAAATGTCAATATTTACAGTTTTTTTTATTATTTTCTTTTGGTGAATTCCACATCAACTCAACACAGATATTTTCATGACCTAATGGGATTCGCTTAATATTCTGTTTATACACTCCTTAGGTGATGGAAAATAAACCCCTCCAAATGTTTTATGAAAAATACTGAAAAATATTGATGGCGGAAATACAAGACTTTGAATTTTTTTTTGGCAATATTTGTTTAAAAAATCTGTAACTTCTGTTCTAATAATCCGATTTAAATTTTCAATGTCGGAAATTGTACAGGAAATGACATATTTTATAATAAATATTATTAGAATTAAGAAAAATAAAAATCGCTATTACAGGGATCGAACTAGGTCCGTAAAAGTCAGTTTTTTTGAAAAATGATCCATAAAGTCCGTAATTTGATAGAAGAAGGACGAAAAGTTCGTAAATTATACGATATAATTTGGATAATTTTAGAGAAATTACAAATGATTCCAGAAATTCAATTATTTTCATAAGTAATACAATTCTTCGCAGAAATTCAATTGCGTTCTAAATTTTTTAAAAATTCTCGTCAAAATTTGAATTATCTTTGTAAATAATAAAATTCTTCTTCAAAATTCAATTATTTTTCAAATTTGAATAAAATTCTTTGAAAAATTTCAATTATTTTCAAAAGTTTTCTCAAATTCAATGATTTTCAATATCTACTATTTTAATAAAATTTTCCAAAAGAATTTCATTATTTAAAAAAATATGAATAAAATTGTACGCCAACATTCAATTATTTTCATAAATAATAAAAAATTTTACAGGAATTCAATTATTTACAAATTTTTTTATAAATTTTTTCGCAATCATTCAATTATTTTCATGCATAATAACATTTTTACAGGGATTTAATTATTTCCGTAAATAATAAAATTCTCTTAGGAATTCTTACTAATAATAAAACTCATCGCAGAATTCCAATTATTTTTCATACAATTTTAATTGAATACCTTGAAAGAAGTCATTATTTTCATGCAAGTTTTAATAAAATTCGACAAAAGAATTCAATTATTTAAAAAATTGTTGATAAAATTATGAAAAAGAATTCAATTTTAAGAAACATTCAATTATTCAATAAATTATTTACTTTTGTATATAAATAATGAAATTCTCGTGGAATTTTCTAATAAAAAGTGATTTAAAAATGAATTTCAGTTGAAATTTTAGATCATAATTAAATATTTTTAAATATTAAGAATATTTTTTTTTCTAATATCTAATAATTTTTATTATAAAATATGACATTTCCTGTACAATTTCCGATATTGAAAATTTAAATCAGATTATTAGAACAGAAGTTACTGATTTTTTAAACAAATAGTACCAAAAAATTCAAAGTCTTGTATTTCCGCCATTTTTTATTTTTTTCAAAAATCATTTGGAGGGATTTTTTTTCATCAACTAAGGAGTGTGCAAACAGAATATTAAGCGAATCCCATTAGGTCATGAAAATATCTGTGTTGAGTTCATGTGAAATTTACCAATTGTCTTTTAATGATCAATTTGAATATTTTGCTTTCGACAGTGATTTTTTTTTTGTAATTATTAATTTTTAATGGAAAGATTGATTTATATTGTACAGTATAAAAATAGTGTTTGGAATGCTCAACTGCAGTTTTATCCTGCATTAAACTACTTTCCTTATTTATATTCCTGTGTGTTGAAATAATAAAAAGAAGAAACTCCGGCTTTCACGTAGCTTTATAATTTTAACAGGCTTCGGTTTTTATTACTTTTTGAACTTTTACAAATTATTTTCAAAAAAATGCTACTTTTCCTCTGAAGACTGACACTTTTTTCCTATTTGAAGAATTTTAATTGCAAATTTTGAAAAGAATTGAATTTTCAAAATCAATTGCTTAATATTTCAAAATGAAAAATATTCAAAAATATATACAAATAAAAATTTGAAAATTGAACATTAATGAAAATTAGCTTTAAAAAATTTTTTAAAAAGGTAACTTTCAGTATTTTTCTATCGTAATTTCTTTAAATTCAATATTGTCAATTATATAATATTCTGAAAATTCAAAAATTTACAAAAAGTAATATTACATTAATATTTTAAACAATCTACTTTTTTAGAATTATTCAAATTTCGAATGAAATAATCCATTTTTAAAATTTTTAATTAAAACTCTTCAAAAAATGGATTTGTTTTTTAAATTTGTACAGAAATTCTTCTATTTTCGGAAAATTAAATTAGAATATTTTTAGCAACCGATTTTTTAGAATTTTCTTATCAGAATTTTATTGAATTCTCAATAAAAAAAATGAAAATTGGAATTTTTTTTTAAATTTACTTTCTTGGATTTATCATTAAAAATTCGGGAATAAATAAAGTATTTTCTTATTTTTAGTTGAAATTCTTGGTTATTTTTCAATATTTGCCAAAAATTCCTTTTAAAAATGTGAAAATATTTTTTAGAGAATTTTTGGTTATTTTTGGAAAATATTAAATTATTATATTTTTATAAAATTATTATATGATATTATCACTCGGTTGTTATAAATATTTAATAAACATTGAATTTAACGATCATTCCGAGTCATTCCGAGTTATATTTTTAATTGGAATAATTGAAACACTTTGCTATTTTTCTAAAATTTGCTAAAAATAATCAAAAATTCACTAAAAGGATATTTTCATATTTTTTAAAGGAATTTTTTAATTTGGTTATTTTATTTTAAATATTTGCCAGAAAATGTATTACTTTTTTTTGGGGGAAAAATCATGTACTTTCAAATTTTTAATTAAAATTTTTAAAAATTTGGTTATTTTTTAATATTTGCCAAAAATTCTTTTCAAAAATATGCTAATATTTTTTAGGGAATTTTTAGTTATTTTCAAAAAATATTATCATATTTTAAATTGGAATTCTTGAAAAACTTGGTTATTTTTTTTTAACATTTTTTGTCAGAAATAACCAAAAATTAACTAAAAAATATTTTCGTATTTTTTAAAGGAATTTTTGGCAAATATTCAAAAATATCCAAGAAAATAAATTTTTAAATATTGCAATTTTATTAAATTTAAATTAAATTTTTTAATTATATATAACTAAAAAATCTACGATCTTTCAAATTAAAAATACTTTTAAAATTTTAATTTAAAGAATTTTGATTATAATTTTTTATATCTTAATTATTTTCAATATTCTCGGTTCCATGTCAATAATTCAACTCAGTAACTTAAAAAAAAACAGGAAGAGTTACTTACACAATTATAATATAAAGATTGAATTTTTTGCATTGAATTAATTGAATTATTAAAAAACTTTCGGAAAATGATTTAAAAAAAGTTGGCTTGGAGAAGAAATTTAGTTAAAAATTCTAGAAAATAATTAAATTTTGGTTACAATATTGTAATATTTAAAATAATAAATTTTTATAATGCTTGAAATTGAAAGTTTTTTAATTTTAATTTTAAAATTAAATATCAAGTATTAAAATCTTAATTTATTCAAATTATTTAATTAAACTATTGTTTATTAAAATCAAATTAACTATATTTAACAAAACTTAATAATGTTTTGAATAATTAAATTTAGAAATCATTGAAAGATGAGATGAATAAAAAATTATATTTTTCTGACTACACTGAATAAAGTAAGCGACTTGTTCTTCTCTTTTTTTATTTTTAATCTACTAAAGCGACCTTTTTTTACGCCTTAAAATCGATCCGAGGCCTGTTTTAACTCTTTGGGGGGTACTTACTTTTATGCTAAACGATTTGATTTTGCATTTTATTACGAGTATAATTTTGCTTTAATAAAACTGTGCTCGTGTCGTTTTTTTCATGTTGTGTTTTAATTGTCGAAATCTAAAATGATTTATTCTAGATTTCTAGTACTATGACTCTAATTTCTTAAATGTGAAATCAAATTGTCGGCAAATTAAAAAAATTGTACAATTATTAATGTGATGGGAATTTTGATTTTCTGAACAGGTGGATCCAATTGGGGCGATCCAAGAATTGATCCACGTGATCCACGAGATATTCGATCGGTGGATCCACGTGAAATGCGTGATCCACGCGATCATCGTATGTCTCTTGATCCAAGGGAGCATATACGTGTTATTGATCCAATGGCGCGTGATCCAAGAATGGCCGATATGCGTGGCGATCCACGTGGTATTTCAGGACGTCTTAATGGAGCTGGAACTGACACAATGTGGGGACAACCACCAGGACCACCGCATCATCAAATGGGCCATCAGCATCCGTCCGGTCCACCAACAAAAATGATTAATCCGTCGAGCATGAATCAATGGTCTGGTCCACCACAAAAGGAAATGATGCCCGGTGGCAAGCCATCCGGATGGGAGGAGCCATCGCCACCAACTCAACGACGAAGCGTACAGAATTACGATGATGGAACTAGTCTCTGGGGTAATCCAGGACCTAATCAACGCACCATGCCGGGAACCAAAGTTTCTCATTGGAAGGATTTGCCAGTTCCGAATATTGCACGTGGAGGTGTGTTTACGTTTTTTCATTTTTAATAGGGGCAAAAGCAGGGTTGCCACAGGTCAGGGAAAACTCAGGGAAATTAGAATTGGTCAGGGATTTTTATTAAAAGCACTGAAAAAATTCAATTTTTAGAATTTATAAAAAAATTCTGAATTTTAGTGTCTTATTTGTTTGTCTTATAAACTATGAAATTACTACTAATTCTAATAAAAAAAACCTTCAAATTTTTATATTTCTGACAATAATTTCTTTTTAAATAACTCAGGGTGGCCGCAAGTCTGCAGGGAAAAGTCAGGGAATTTTGATCGAAAGAAACCACAAATTAAAAAACTTTGATACATAAATGTAAATTCAGTTTGTTTCTTTAGATGTTTTTATAATATAGCTCATGAATGGTTCCGTCATATTTTTCATAAGTTTGAACGTTCTTACGAATATAATAAGATTTTGTCAACAAACAATTTTTAATTATCTTATTTTTTCCTTTATAAATAAAATTGTTACTTAAAAAGCATTATAAACATTTCGATCAGCAATGTAGAATATTAAATAATTCAAAAATTTGTTAGTCAGAGAAAATAAAAAATTAGTCAGGCAAAAGTCAGGGAATTTTTAAAATAAAATTTTGCGGCCACCCTGTAACTTAATTCTTGAAGAACTATCACAAAATTATTACTTAGAAATTATTTAATGAATAATTTTTCTAAAATATTTAAAAACTATTTGAATTTTTAAAGTGTTGCGTTTACAATCTTCATAAATAGATGAACTTCAAAGGTTTCAATTTAAAATTTTAGGAAATATCAATTTTTAATGAATTTAAATAGAAATTTTAAGAACAACTGATTACAGAAATTCAATTATTTTTAAAAGTGATAAACTTCTTCGCAGAAATTCAAAAAATTTCAAATGTTCAAAAATTTAAAAAAAATTCCCGTCAAAATTTCAATTATCGTTATGAATAAAAAAATTCTTTTCCGAAATTCAATTATTTTCGAAAATTTTAATGAAATTCATGGAAAAATTTCAATTATTCTTAAAAATTCAATTATTTAAAAAAAAATTGAAAAAAATTCTTCACAAGAAATTAATTATTTTCATAAATAATAATACTTTTCACCTGAAATAAATTATTTTCACAAATAAAATTCTTCACAGGAATTCAATTCTTTAAAAATATTTTTAATAAAATTTGTTGCAAAAATCCAATTATTTTCATAAATAGCAAAACTTATCGCAGAATTTAATTTATTTTTTATACAAATTTAAATAAAATGATAGAAAATTGCATTTATTCTTAAATTTTTTTTTTTAAATTCGCCTAAAGAATTCAATTATTTTTTAAAATTTTGATAAAATTCTTCATAAAAATTCTATTTTAAAAAATATTCAATTATTTAATAAATTATTTATTTTTGTATTTAAATAATTGAATTCTCAAAAAATTTTCTAATATAAATTGATTAAAAAATTAAAAAAATTAAAATTAAAAATTGTATAAGTGAAATTTATTTTTTGATCTATTAAATTTTGAAATTTTTGTGGCAACCCTGAAAAGAAAATATTTTTCTGCTTTTCTAAATTTCAAATTTTGCATTAAAAGACAAGTATTATTGAACTATAATTGCAATTTAGTTATTAGCAACAATCCAATTTAATCACAAATAACAGATAATTTGAGACCAAAAAATGAATTCGATGAGCAGTATAAACTTCTTGTCCCTATATTAATTTATGAAAAAATTTACTAAAAACAAAATAGTTGATTATTTTTAGTAAATTTTTTTTTTCTATAAAATAATTAAAATTTATTAAAAATTTGTTCTTGTTTAGCAATGCAATGCCCTCCAGGAATGCCACAAAATCGTATGCCCGGTCAACCAGGCATGAAACCGGACGTCGGCGGTCCCATGTGGAGTCATCCAAGTGGTCCGGGTGGACGAAACGGATCATGGGGCGATGGACCGCACGAGACTGCTGCTTGGGATGAAACAAAAGGACCCACAACATGGAATGAACCACAATTGAATCCGGCCTCTTGGGGCGGACCCGCTGCACATAAACCAAAGCCAATGGGACCCACTGGAAGCTGGGCCGATTCTGATATGGAACCAACATCAAGCTGGGGTCATCCTTCCAAACAAACTCTCACCAAGGAGATTATTTGCAATAGTCGCGAATTCCGCTCTCTCTGCGAACTTGGCTACAAGGTTTGTATTTTTAATTTATTCAAGCTTTCACAGCACTCTCTCTCTCTCTATTCTCGTATTTTTCCTCTATTTTTTGTCACCATACGTTAATAAAATATCCTAAAACACCTTAAATCATGCATATTTTCCCATTTTCTAAAAGTAAACATAGGGTCAAAATAAGTGAAACCGGCCACTTGAAAAATTTTTGTCCCCGAATTGAAAGTTATCTATGGTTTTTGATAGATATATGAGTAAACTTTTACCCGCTAAAATATTTTTCAAAAATTTTATTTATTTTGAAAGTTATCAGGTGTTAAACTTTTAGGTTACTTTTTATTCTTTTCATTATTACTCCGAAACGAATGAAGATAATTTCAATTTTTTTTTTGGAAATTAAAGCTAAAAGTCTGTAGTTTAAAGTGCAACTGAAAAAATTGCTGTATAATAAAAATTTTTAATTGTTATTAACAATTATTTTAAACAATTGCGATTTAAAGTATGTTCTCAATGTCGGAAAAAAATCAAACTATACTCATGTGATGCGCAAAACTCTAACGAGTAAATTAAAAAAAAAAAAAGTGAGTAACCTCTAAAATTACAGAAGTTATGCATATTTTTCTGACGACGCGCGGGAATTAACTGATTCGCAAACTCTCGAGCGCGCGGGAATACGCCCGCGCCCGCGCCCGCCGCACTGCTCACACTTGTGTTTTCAAACAATTTATGTTTACAGAGAAGGAGAAGTAATTAAAATATTATTTTCTTACTGAATAGTTTATTAATATTTTTACTTTTGGAGTAATTATATACATAAAAACCATTTTGTATGTACTCATAAACTGCTTTGCAGTTTTTATGCTTTGATAAAAAACTTTTTTCGTGGGTCTGATATTCTTGAATCGTACAAAAATCGAAATCGATATTGTTTGTGTAGAATTTCATCAAAAAATTTTTTAAATAATTGGATTTCTAAATAAAATAATTGAATCATTTGTCACTTCTCCAAAATTCAATTTTTATTAGTGTTTTAACTGAAATTTCTTCTATAAATTCGCTATTTTTAATAATTTATTATTTCTTAAAACTGTATTCCCATAAAGAATTTTATTAACAAATTTTTAAATAATTGAATTCTTTGAACGAGTTTTAATAAAATGTTTAAGAATAATTATTATTAAAAAAAAATAAAACAAAAAATAAAAATAAAAAATAAATAAATAAATAAAATAATAAATAAAAAAAAAATAATAATAATAAATAATAATAATAATAATAATAATAATAATAATAAATAAATAAATAAAATGTTTAAGAATAATAATTATTCTTAAACATTTTATTAAAACTCGTTCAAAGAATTCAATTATTTAAAAATTTGTTAATAAAATTCTTTATGGGAATACAATTTTAAGAAATAATAAATTATTAAAAATAGCGAATTTATAGAAGAAATTTCAGTTAAAACACTAATAAAAATTGAATTTTGGAGAAGTGACAAATGATTCAATTATTTTATTTAGAAATCCAATTATTTAAAAAATTTTTTGATGAAATTCTACACAAACAATATCGATTTCGATTTTTGTACGATTCAAGAATATCAGACCCACGAAAAAAGTTTTTTATCAAAGCATAAAAACTGCAAAGCAGTTTATGAGTACATACAAAATGGTTTTTATGTATATAATTACTCCAAAAGTAAAAATATTAATAAACTATTCAGTAAGAAAATAATATTTTAATTACTTCTCCTTCTCTGTAAACATAAATTGTTTGAAAACACAAGTGTGAGCAGTGCGGCGGGCGCGGGCGCGGGCGTATTCCCGCGCGCTCGAGAGTTTGCGAATCAGTTAATTCCCGCGCGTCGTCAGAAAAATATGCATAACTTCTGTAATTTTAGAGGTTACTCACTTTTTTTTTTTTTAATTTACTCGTTAGAGTTTTGCGCATCACATGAGTATAGTTTGATTTTTTTCCGACATTGAGAACATACTTTAAATCGCAATTGTTTAAAATAATTGTTAATAACAATTAAAAATTTTTATTATACAGCAATTTTTTCAGTTGCACTTTAAACTACAGACTTTTAGCTTTAATTTCCAAAAAAAAAATTGAAATTATCTTCATTCGTTTCGGAGTAATAATGAAAAGAATAAAAAGTAACCTAAAAGTTTAACACCTGATAACTTTCAAAATAAATAAAATTTTTGAAAAATATTTTAGCGGGTAAAAGTTTACTCATATATCTATCAAAAACCATAGATAACTTTCAATTCGGGGACAAAAATTTTTCAAGTGGCCGGTTTCACTTATTTTGACCCCATACAAACATTCCCATTTTACCAAATTGAAAACTTATTTCTTGAAGAACTATAATAAAATTATTATTACTTAGAAATTATTTAATGAATAATTTTACTTAAATCTTTCAAAATTCATTGAATTTTAAAACAGTTGTCTTTACAATTTTCATAAATAGATGAACTTTAAAACGTTTCAATTTGAAATTTTATAAAATTTTTTTAAACTTATTTAATTAATTATTAAAAATAATAAATTTATAGAAGAAGTTTAGTTAAAAACACAAAAAAAAATTCAATTTTGGAGAAGTTACCAATATTTGCATTAATTCAATTATATTCAAAAAATTAAAAAATTCCTCTTCTAAATTTCAATTATCTTTATCAAGAATAGAATTTTTCTCCGAAATTCAATTATTTTTAAAAATTTTAATAAAATTCTTGTCAAAATTTCAATTATTTTTGCAGAATTTCAATTATGTTCAAAAATTTTTTAAATTGTTGTCAAAATTTGAATTATCTTTGCAAATAATAAAATTATTCTTCAAAATTCAATTATTTTCAAAAAATTTAATAAAATTCTTGGCAAAATTTCAATTATTTTCAAATATTTTCCTCAAGTCACTGATTTTCAATATCTACTACTTTAATAAAATGTTCCAATAAATTCAATTCTTTAAGAAAATTTAATTAAAAAAATTAAATTTCAAAAGTAAATCAATTATTTACAAATTTGTTTATAAAATTCTATGAGAATTTAATTTTAAGAAAATTTAGATTATTCAATAAATTAATTATTTTTGTACCTATTTAAATAATTAAATTCTCGGAGAATTTTCTAATAAAAATTGAATTAAAAATAATAGAATTTTGGAAGAATTTCAGTTGTCATTTAAGTAGGGGAACATAGTCTAGGTCGGCCACCTTTTTGACTTTTGTTTATAACTTTTTTTTAAAAATAAATTTGGACAATTGAAGTATATGGTTGGAAAGTCCTGTTTAATAGGAACATTTTTTCTGTACAAAGTAAATTGACAGGTTTAAAAATGAAAAAGTTATAAAGATTTAAAAAAAAAAAAATTTGTAGTCCAGGTTGGCCATTACAGTCAAGGTCGGCCATGTTTAAAATTCAAAGGGCATTAATCGTTAAAAAATAAAATAACATGTTTGGAGTTACGGAAAATTGATTCTTTATTGTTTACAGTTTGTAACTTAATGAAATAACAAAATAATAAAAATAAACAATATAAAAAAATAAATATAAATAAAAAAAAATTTTGCACTAAAATATTAATAAAATTAAATGAAACTATTAATAAGATGATCAATTATATTATGAGTTATACAGAATTGCAGTTTTTGCAAATGAAGTAGCTCGTCCTCATCTTTGCGCATTTTAAACACATAGTGGCCGACCTTGACAGTAAGTAACATTACCGAATTGTTGTAACCATAAAGAAATACGTTTCGGGATTCGATTTTTTACTTTGTTTTCCTTTCAACCATGAGTCCCACAAATTTTCTGCATACTTGCCTTGACGATTCAATTTGTTTTTTATCTTTTATTAATGGTTTTTCACATTATGCACAAAACTTTTTTTGAGCTTTTTTTGTACCGACGTCACAGAAAACACAATTTTAGATTTTCCGAAAATGTAATTGAACAAAAAGTTAGGTTTCACTAAGACAAGCTTCGACAAAAATGCGCGTAGGTGGCGCTAGTGAACTTGACAAAAAAACGCGAGTGGCCTACCTAGACAGTAGGCCAACCTTGACTACATTCCCCTATAGAAATAATTAAATTTCAAAAGGTTTTTTATTGAAATTATTTGATATTTTATTCCTGCGGAAAAATAAATAACAATAAGTTTTTAAAAATTTATTTAACAAAACTTGAAATGTAGAATAATATAGAAATTCTAAAAAAATGAGGTTTTTGACAAATTTTAATTAAAATTTTTTGAAGATAAAAATTGAATTCCCAAAGAGAATAAAATTTAAAAAAGTTGAAACTATTGAAAATTTGTCAAATTTCATTGAAATAAATTTTATATTAAAAGGAATTTCATTTTTTACTTTAAAAAATTATTTCGAAATACAGTCGTATTTTTGAAGAATTCTAACTAAATATTTGGAAAATAATTGAATTTAAAAAATTTAGAACTTAAACGAGTTTTTAGAGTCGTCAAATTTGATTTTTCGATAGCTATTTTTTTTTACTGTACTTCTTTTCAGTCCTCAATCTAATTTTTGCTCTTTTTTAAAATTCATTAACGAGTGCGAAGCCTTAATTAGGATTGTTCCAGTGTTACTCAAAAGTTGAATTATTTAATTAAAAATATCTTCCATTCAAGTTGTAACTAGAACTGTCTTGTCTATTTCCAAACGAGTCGTTCAAAAAATTCTTAATTTTTTTTAAATTAAAGAAAACTGCCCAAAGAATTATATTTTTTAAAAAATAAAAAATTTTTATTAAATTTGAAAAATAAAATTTTTTTAAACTGATAAGGGAAGAGAAAACTTCACTAGCATGAAGTTATGCCAGTTTAATAAATAGGTACTAAAATAAAATGTAATCAATAATGAAAATAAAAATATGAACTTTTGCAATGTCACAGAAGGAAGATGTTGAGGCAGCTTTGAGAAGTCGTGAGATGAATCGTGACGAAGCACAAGAACTATTGAATCAAGTGCGTCCACTGGATCAATGGCGCCGTCATGAAGCACATTCTGGTTATGAGCTTGCTAATCAAGCAACCTCAGGTCCAAGTTATCCAAGATTCAATCACGTCGCGCAGCAGATGTCATTCCCTCCGGTAAGTGAAAATCGACATATTTCATTCTTGCTCAAGCATCTATCCTGGTGGAAACTAGCAATGAAAAAAAATGCATATTTTGCGAGGCACAATTTTTGTTTTTTTTTTCTAAAAAAAGAAAAGTATTCATCAATTAAATTAAAAATCTTTTTGAACAAAATTGCACTATTCATTTTTTATTTGTATAAAATTCAAAATCATTTGAATTTTATATAAACAAAATACGAAAAACACAAATTTTAATGTTCTTTTTTTTCTTTTCAATGTTTAAATATTCGTTCCTGTGTTTTTTCACAATGGTTTGGTGAGTTTGCTGTAGCAAAATATGCACTTGGTGTGGTTCCAAACGGTTTCAATTTTTTTCTTTTCTTTTTTTTTTGAGTGGCATCACATAACATGTGAGGGTTTTTTTTGTGCGAGTTTAAAATTTTTAATGGGTGTTTTGTTCAACTAAACAAAATTTTCAATGATTGATTTAGACGAATTTTAATATCGTGGTGGAGGTTTTTACCAGGTGATAATTTGATTAGTAAAAAGGTGCAGCCTTTCAAAATTAGTTTGATCATTTTTAAATTGACAGGAATGTTGATTGACGTTATTTTTTTTAATTACTCAGGAGAATATTTTATTGCGAAGAAAGAAAACTATAATTCGAGATAAAAGCAAATTTAAAGAATTAATTAAGAAAGCACAGGTATCGGTAATTATAACTTTTTGGACTTTTTCTGACAATTTTCAACTAAGTCAACATTTTTACATTTTATCCAAACAATGCGACTTTTTCGACTTTTTTTCCAAATATTACACCAAAGTTTTTTTCTAATCATTATATTAGTTAAGATATTAGAAAATAAAATTTTATAGAATTTTATATGCTAATTTTAAATATAATTGAACTCTCAAAAATTTATATAAAAAATCTTTAAATAAAAATTTGAAGATGAAAATGAATGAAAAATATGTAACTTCAAAAAATTCTGTTAAAAATATTTCCTAAAAAAGTAATTCTAGGAATTTTCCTTATTTTCATATTTTAAAAAATGACTTTTTGTCGTTTTTTGTTATTGATCTACTTTTTCAACGTATCATTAAAGTTTTTTTTTAGAAATCATCTGTTTTTTAACTAAAATTCTTCAAAAAATGGATTATTTTTTAATACTTTCCAAAAACTCTTTTAAAAAATTAAATTATTTTCAAATTTTTTTACTGAATTTAAATTATTTTCGAAAAATTTTACTGAGTTTAAATTATTTGCAAATTTTTCAATTATATATATTTGAAAAATCAATTATTTTTCAAAAATTTATAAAAAATACTTTTAAAATGTAAAATACTAATTTTAAGAGTTTTGATTATAATTTTTTTTTAAATTTTTAATGTTGAATCCAAAGAAAGTAGATTTTCAAAAACTCCAATTTTACTAAATTTCAATTATATTGAAATTTTTTAATTATAGGTATAAATAATTGAAAAATCTATTAACTTTTAAAATTTTATTAAAATACTTTTAAAATTAATAATAATTTTAAGAATTATGATTATAATTTTTGAAAAGTCAATTATTTTAAATATTCTCGGTTACTTGTTGTCAATAATTATTTTACTTAATAACTTTTAAAAAACAGGAAGAATTACTTTTACAATTATTGTTTAAAACATTGAATTTTTCTATTTAAATAATTTAATTCTCAAAAATCTTTCAGAAAATTATTAAAATTAATTGATTTAGAGAAGAAGTTTAGTTAAAAATTCTAGAAAATAATTATATTTTGGTTACATTTTTGATTTTTAAAAATAATTTTTTATAATTCTTGAAATTTAAATTCTTTATTCCTCTGGAAAATTAAGTATCAAGTATTGAAAAATTAATTTAATGAAATTATTTAATTTACAGTTTATTAAAAACAAATTATAACAAATTAATTATATTAAACAAAATTTAACAATTTTTTGAAAAATTAAATTCACAGATCAGTGAGAGGACAGGGAAATGCGAAATTAAATTTTTGTGACAAGACTCAATAAAATAAAGGACTTTTTCGATTTTTTTGTATCTTTATTTGACTAATTTCATTGAAACAATTTTGTGGTAAAGAAATATTTTTGAAGTATTTTTTTTAATTAAATGGTAATTATAAAATTAAGAATTAAAATTCTTTTTGGAAATATTCCTAAGGAGATAATTTTTTTTTAAATGACACTTGATTCGCATTGATTACCGTTATGAAATGAAAGGCTGCACCTATTTAGCTTAATCTAGTGGTAAAGAGAGGGTCAGAGGCTAGGATGGTAGAAAGGGGTTCAGGGTGTTCGTATGTAATGCAGGGGGCTGGAGTGCCCAGCGGGGCGGCTACTGGCGGCGTAAGTGGTTCTGTGGCCAGCGCCAGTCTTCTCAAGCTACAACAGCAACAACAACAGCAGGCAGCTGTTCAACTCCAGCAACAACAACCCAGTTCCAATGCACCGCAGCCTCCTTTTAACCAGGTGAACTACCTGATGTCCGGAACAAACATTTATTCATTACAATCATTTTTTAGCCTATTCCTTAAATTACTCTCTTCATTTATTTTTTCCTTTATTTTTACTTCTTAGATACTACTCTCTATTTTCTACAATACAATTATTTCATTCCCCCTTTGAAAGTTAAAATTCGAGCAATATTTTCCTTTTTTTTTCTTTTCTTTGATAACGAAAAGAAATAAATTCATTTTTTTATTACCACTTATAGAGTATAAAATTTTATTCTTACGAATAAGAATCTCTTACGAAGTAAGAGATTTTGAAAAAAACATAAAATTATTGTTTTAATTAATATTCCAAATTAATACACGTCTTGTGTGAAATGTTGTTATGGTTTGATATGTACTTATTGCTTATTATCTTTTGCATGTTTTTTCCCGTAGAATTTATTTTCAAAATGCTTGGATTTTTTATGCGAACAACAATAATTTTTGCCTTGAATGTAGAAACATATTTATTTTACGCTTTTTTCTCCAAGTATCTCAAAAAATCAGAGAGGAAATAAAGAATTCGATAAACAAGTGACTAAAAATATCGACGAGACGGAGTCAATGACAATAAAAACAAAAAATAAGAAGAGAGAGAGAAAATAGGTTTATTGCAATAATTCTTCTCTGTCTTTTGAAACTTCACAATTACACAAAAGCTTTCTTTATCGCGTTTTTGCTATTTAATTTTGCATGTTTTTTTTAGAATCAAACATTATTTTTTAAGTTAATTTTTACCGTTACTTATAATAGTTAAGATTATTTTTTACTATTAGTAATATACACTTTCTTGATAGTATAAAAATAGTTCTTTAGAATTACATTTTTTTCTTTTATCAAAAAATTATGAATAAAGTAGAAGTTAATAAAAATTCGAATTTCCATAATTTTTTTAAATCATGAAAAAGTGTGTCTGCCGATTGTATCATATTTCTTACGTGAAAAAATTGTTTTCAGGCATCGAGAACGCCACAAAATCAACCGAGCACTCAACAACTGCGTATGCTTGTGCAACAAATCCAACTTGCTGTTCAAGAGGGCTATCTCAATCATCAAATTCTAAATCAACCATTAGCGCCACAAACATTGATTCTTTTGAATCAACTCTTACAACAGATCAAGGTTCTTCAGCAATTGCATCAACAACAGAATGTACAAAGTTCTGTCAAGGGCAATAACCAAACACTTCTGCAGATCAACATTCAAATTACAAAGACCAAGCAGCAAATTGCTAATCTACAAAATCAAATTGCTATTCAACAAGCAACTTACATGAAGCAGCAGCAGCAACAACAGCATCCAGCTGCTCCATCACAGAGTTCTGATTATTACAAAACACCCGTTCACGATCCCATCAGCGCTCTGCAGAATTCCTTCAGTGATTTGTCAATGAACAAGGAGCAACCACCAGTTGTAAGTATCATTTTTCTTTTTTAGGAAATATTTATTCCCTGTTTTGGTTATATAGGGTTGTCAAATTTCAAGAATTACTTTTTCGACTTTTTTCGAATATTTTCCAAAAATGCTACTTTTTCCGCCTTATTTCCAAAAATTGCGACTTTTTTTTTTTTACTTTTCTTCCAAATATTGCAACAAAATACCACATTTTTAGTATAAATTGCAAATTATTTCAATTTTTCTGGTGTGAAAAATAACTATGTATAGACAAATCTTACAAAAATTTACTTTTGAATAATTTTTCTAATTAAATTTTCGAAATATACAATTATTAAAATGATTTGAAATAATTAAAATTTTGTAAAATTTAATTGAAAATAATAAATTTTTTTCAAGTATTATTATTACAATTTTTGTAAATCAACTTTTGAAGAAATTTAATTCCAAATTTTGGGAAAATATAATTCCGAAAATTCAAATACATAGGTACAAAAATAATACAAATATTAAAATTTTTCAGAATTATTTTTAACATTTTGGAGAAAACAATCATTGTGGAAATTTTTAATTAAAATTTTTCAATAAATTACTTAGTTTTTTTTTAAATTATACAAAAATTCTTTTAAGAATTTTTTGTATGTCTTAAAGTGGATCCGAGGCCTGCATTTTTAAAAAACTTGAAAACTTTATATTGAGCAGTACTTTTTAATGCCCAAAATCTTTCTTAAAAAAAAAAAAGTTCACCCGTCTTTTTCCAAAAGTAAATCTTACTTTTCAATTTCTACAAAAACCGCCTCTTTTTCATTTTTTTTTTTATCATTTTCTTTGGAAAGCTGAGAGTTTTTCCCACAAAGTACGTAAAGAAAGTGGAACAAAAATATATTTTCGAGAAAATGAAAGAAACATATTTTTTAACTACTTTTATTTTCTTGCAAAACTATTATTGTCCCTTTTGCAATCTTTACATAATTTATAGGGAAAATATCTCAGCTTTTTAATGAAAATGATAAAACAAATAAAAAAAAGGTAGTTTTGGTAAAAATTGAAAAACAAGATTTTATTTTTTAAAAAAAGAGTTTTTTTAAATAAAAATCCATAAAAAAATTCAATTAATTTCAAAAATACAGAAAAAATTCTTCCAAACAATTCAATTATTTTTATGAATTGTAAAATCCTCCGCAAGAATTTAATTATTTTCATAAATAAGAAAATGTTTCGGAGGAATTCAATTATTTCCATTACAATTTTAATAAAATTTCTTCGAAGAATACAATTATTTTTAAAAATATTTAAAATTTAATTAATTTAATTTAATATTTAATAAAAATCCAATTATTTTAACAATTCTGATAAAGAATTCTACGAAACAATTCAATTATTTTGGAAATTGTATCATTCTTGGCAAGAATTCAACTATTTATGTAAATAATAAAACTCTCTTGAGAAATTAAATTATTTTCAAAATTTTCAATTAAAATTACTTTAAAAAATAACATTATTTTTACGAAATTTAATGAAATTCTTTAAAAGAAATGTAATTATTAGAAAAAACTTCATTATTTTCAAGAAAATTGAAACAAATTCTTCAAAACAATTCAATTATTTTAAAGAATTTTAATAAAAATCTTGCAAAGAGTTTGAGCCTTTTTCGAAAAATCACGATTTAATTATATTGCATTTTCTCGAAAGAATTCAATTGAAGATTTCTTAAAAAATTGGGATTTAAAACAGTTTAATTTTTGACTTACAGGGCAATAATTTTGAGCTTAAAAAATTATAACCGATTCTTTGATTGGGACCCTCAATTATTGAAAAAAATGCTAATAAAATTCTTGAAATAAATTCAATTATTTTCAAATTTTTTATAAATACTTTACAAGAATTCAATGATTTTCAGTACATTAATTTTAAAATTTTAAACATTTAAAAAGAAAAATTATTTAAAAAATTAGGAAACAAAGAAGCAAACAGCAACTAACTTCAAACTGCGAACAGATTACCGGAATAAAACGATTATTAATATAGAAGATAGATAGCAGAAGAAGATTAAGAAATTACTTAAAATTTTTTCAATTTTAAATTGAAAATAAATAAATTTGTTAAGAATTTGTATTAGAGATTTAAAAAAAAATTGTATCTAAAATAATTTAATTTCGAAAGAGTAACAATTTTTTAAATAAATTTTTGTTAACTAGTTAATTTTAAAAAGATTTAAACGTAAAATTTTTTTAAAAACATTCAAGTTTTGAAAAATTTTATTTGAAATACTGACTAATTAGATTTTAAAAATATTTCATTATATATGGCGGTTTTTTATTTACGTAATTATAAACATAGCATGTTGAGACATGGGAATATTCTCTTTACCTAAATATTCACTTGTTTAATAATTATTCATGCAAGAAAAAATACAAGAACTCTGAACCATTAGACGGTTTGATTTATAAAACCGTTTTTACTGATATGTGTTCTACAATGTATGGCAAAGTCATTTTTTTTCTCAAAAAAGCGATGATAGTACCAACTAGATATTAAATTTGACTTTCATGTTATATAAAACAAGAGACGATGAGGGATTATTTAAGCCCTAATTTACTTAATTTCTTATTATATTATTAAATTATTTCTCTAGGTATTGTATTTATTCCCTTATTGTATTATGAAATTATTTCCCTTTTATATTAAATTTTGTGTTTTTTTTAACAGAGTCAACAACAGTCTAGATTGAACCAGTGGAAATTGCCCTCGCTTGACAAAGATGGAGATTCCGTGGTCAATGAATTTTCACGCGCTCCTGGCACTACCAGCAAACCACCGCAAGCACCTGGTGGACTCACTCAGTCACATTCAAGTCCAAATATGAATCCCCTGTTGGGTCAGAGCGATGGACCTTGGTCCACGCGACTCGGCGAAAGCGGCTGGCCTGACGCAGGAAACAGCGACTCCACTGATGGCAAAGACTGGCAACCAGGAGGCGCCGCATTCACCGATCTTGTTCCTGAATTTGAACCTGGCAAACCATGGAAGGTAATCCACTCCCAATTACGGAAATTCTATTTTATTTAGCTAATAAATATCGAGTTTAAAGCAACGCGTTTTAAATTATTAATTAATTTATATTACAAGTATTATTAAAATATAAAAGTATAAAATAATGTGATTAAATTAAAGAAATTAAATTCTTTCGTGTTGATACTTGATAGAGATGTGTAGAGATTAAATTTTAAGTAGTTTGTAAGATTTGTTCGGGTCCACCTATATTTAATGTCATTCTAGGGTACGCAGATGAAAAGTATCGAAGACGATCCTAGTATCACTCCTGGTTCAGTCGTTCGTTCACCACTCTCCTTGGCTGCCATCAAGGATCCTGATGCATTATTTTCATCGAGCAGCAAATCATCTCCACCGCCTCAGTCGGTCAACGCTGAAACTTCCATTCCAAGCCTCAGTAATTCGACGTGGAGCTTCAACCCACCTGCAACTACACCCAGTGCATTTACTAGGTAATTCTTTTCTTCAGCTTTACAATAATTTCTGATTTTTACCAATTTTTGTACAGGATTGCCACAGGTCAGGGAAATCAGGGAATTTTATTAAAAGTACTGGAAAAAATTAATTTTTTGAATTCATAAGAGAATTCTGAATTTTTGTGACTTTTTTGTTTGTCTCATAAACTATGAAATTAGTCTCGAATTCTGACCCAAAATCTTCATTTTTTTTCTATTTCTGACAATAATTTCTTTTCAAATAACTTAATTCTTGAAAAACTATCATAACATTATTACTTAGAAATTATTTAATGAAAATTTGACTCAAAATTCATTGAATTTTAAAGAGTTGTGTTCACAATTTTCATAAATAGATGAACTTCGAAAGGTTTTAATTTGAAGTTTTATAAAATTTTAATGAAGAATGAATTTTATTTAAATATTTAGTGATTCTGATAGAAAAAAATTGCCTCTATCAATAAAAAATGTCGACTGTCCCTGTCACATATGTATTTATTTAATCATTAAAAATAATAATGGATTTATAGAAGAATTTCAGTTGAGAATTGAATTTTGGAGAAGTTAAGAATGATTGCAAAAATACAATTATTTTTAAAAGTAATAAAATATTTCGCAAAAATTCAATTATGTTCTAAAATTTATAAAAATTCTCATAAAAATTTCCACTATCTCTATAAATAATAAATTTCTACTCTGAAATTTAATTATTTTCCAAAAATTTTCCTCATTTCAATGATTTACAATATCTACTATTTTAATAAAATTTTCCAAAAAATTTTAATACAATTCTACGCAAACATTTAATTATTTTCATAAATAATAAAAATTTAACAGGAATTTAATTATTTACAAATCTTTTATAAATTTCTTCACAATAATTCAGTTATTTTCATAAATATGTAATAACATTTTTTACAGAGATTCAATTATTTTCATAAATAGTAATAAAAGTCATCGCAGAATTTCAATTATGTTCAAAAATTAAAAAAAAAACTTGTCAAAATTTCAAATATCTTTATAAATAATAAAATTCTTCTCCAAAATTCAATTACAGTCAACTCTCTCAATAATGCCGCAAAATTGCACAGCGTTTACGACTTTTCTTGGAACTGTAGTACCCCCACTGTTTGTATATTTCTCTCTTAAGGGAAACTCGAAATTTAGAAGCTGTGCTAGAGTCGCTAAAGTGGGGATAGAGCTCGAGCGAGAAAGAGGAGAAGTGGCACTATTGATAGCGGCACTATTGGTAGAGTTGACTGTATTTTCGAAAAATTTAAATAAAATTCTTGTCAGAATTTCAATTATTTTTAGTACAATTTTAATAGAATTCATCGAAAAACGTAATTATTTTAAAAAATTTTATTAAAATTCTTCAAAAGAATTCAATTATTTAAAAATTTTTTGATAAAATTCGTTATGAGAATTCAATATTAAGAAACATTCAATTATTCAATAAATTATTTTTTTTGTATTTAAATAAAATTTAATTCTCGTAGAATTTTCTAATTAAAATTGATTTAAAAATAAATTTTAGTTAAAATTTTAGATAATAATTGAATATTAAAAGCGTTATAGCATGAATTGTTAACAATAATTGAATTTTCAAAAGGTTTCAAATTAAAATCTTTGAAAATTTGAATTTTTCATACTTTTGACTAGGAATTCTGTAGAATTATTTTTTTGACAAAATTTAATTGAAATTTTTTAGAAATTATAAGTTTTTATTTTCTAATATATTTAATTGAAGAATTTCCGAAAAATCGAAATTTTGTAAAATTGAATAGTAAACAAATGGATTTGAAAATTCTCAAAGAACTTTTTCAAAAATTATAAAAAGTATTTGATTTAAAGAAGTATTTTAGTTAAATATTCTACAAAATAATAATTTAATTGAAATGTTGAAAATAATTTATAATTTTTTTTCTTTTTTGAGTATCTAATCATTATTGCAGTAAATCAGAATATTCTTTCGTTTTAGAGAAAAAGTTGAAATTTTGTCTGAAAATGAGGGAAAAGTCAGGGAAAAACAAAATTGAATTTTTGTTTCAAATTGTTCACAACGACTTTAGTCCAAAATAAAAAAATATAATACTTTTTATAATACTTTTATTTATGTACTTATTATTATAAAATTGTATAAATTGTTACAGTGCGAAAAACACATGGGGTGAATCGGCACCACCACCAACGGCAGTGACCTCAGAATTGTGGGGCGCACCAATGAACAAGGCTCGTGGACCACCACCTGGTTTGAGCAGTAAAGGCAGCATTGGAAATGCAAGCAATGGATGGAGTGGCTTAAGTTCCGTTGGTCGCTCCGCAAGTTCCTGGGGTCTACAATCCGGAGGTGGTAACTCTGGATGGGTCTCCACTTGGCTTCTACTCAAGAATCTAACACCACAAATTGATGGTTCAACACTCAAAACTCTCTGTATGCAACATGGACCGGTTCAAGATTTCCGGCTCTACCTGAATCATGGAATTGCACTCACCAAATACTCATCGCGAGATGAAGCCATAAAGGTTAGTGAAATCTTTGTTACATTTCAGTTGCAGGAAACAAAGTTAACTCCCTTTTTTTAACTAATCTCGTTTTTTGCTCCTCTCTTTCTTTATTCCCTTCGAATAATTAAATTCTCTAAAAATTCCCTTTTTTGCTAAATATTACATGGGAAAATTACTCAGGGTTGTCACGCAACTTGGAAAACCTGGAAATGTCAGGGAATTTTATAAACCTTGAAAAACCCTGTAAAAGTCAGGGAATTTTGATCGAAATCATGGAAAATTGTAGTTTTCTAAAGTTATTGTGTTTATTCTTGAAATCTATTTTTACTTAAATATTTCAAAATTAATTCAATTTTAAAAGAGTTGCGTTTACAATTTTCAAAAGAAGATGAACTTGAAAAGATTTTGATTTGAAATTTTGTAAAATTTCAATTTTAAATGAATTTAATTAGAAATTTGAAAAATCTAGATTTTTAAAAAAATTTAATAACTAAAATTCTTTTGAAATTAGTTAAATTATTTAATATTAAAAATAATGGATTTATAGATGAGTTTTAGTTAAAAACATTAAAACAAATTTAATTTTTAAGCAATTACAAATGATAGCAGAAATTCAATTATTTTCAAAACTAATAACATTCTTCGTTGAAATTCGATTATTTTCAAAAATTTTAATAAAATTCTACGCAAAGATTTCATTATTTTCATAAGTAATAAAAATTTGTCATGAATTCAATTATTTATTAATTATTTTCATAAATAATTATTCAATTTTTTTCATAAATAATTATTTAATTATTTTCATAAATACGCAATAAAATTCATCGCAGACTTTCAATTATTTTTAATGGAATTTTAATAGAATTTCTCGAAAAATGTAATTATTCTTAAAAATGTTATTAAAATTTATCAAAAGAATTTAATTATTTTATAAACCTTTGCTACAATTTAAGTATTATTTTCAATACATTTTAAATTAAATTTCTTCAAAGAATTAAATTATTTTCAAAAATTTTAATAAAATTCTTTGTAACAATTCAATGTTTTTCAAAATAATTACAATAAAATTCTTCGTAGAAATTTAATTAATTTCAAAAATGTATCAAAATTAAATTATTTTCAATGTCTACTATTTCATTCAAATTTCACAAGAAAATTCAATTATTTAAAAAGAAATTTTAATAAAATTCGTCTCAAGAATTTAATTATCTTCAAAAGTAATATAATTCTTCGCAGAAATCCAATTATGTTTAAAAATTTACCAAAATTCTTGTCAGAATTTAAATTATCTTTAGAATAATAAAATTTTTCTCCAAAATTCAATTATTTTCAAAAATTTTAATATAATTCTTGGCAGAATTTCAATTATTTTTAATATAATTTTCATCAAATTTCTCTAAAGATGAAATTATTCTTAAAAATGTTATTAAAATTTGTCAAGAGATTTCAATTATTTAAAAAATTGTTGATAAAAATTCTTTATGAAAATTCAATTTTATAACATTCAATTATTTAATAAAATATTTATTTTTCTATTTGAATAATTGAATTCTCGTAGAATTTTCTAATAAATATTGATTTAAAAATTAATTTCAGTTAAAATTGTAAATTATAATTGAATATTGAAAGCATTATAGCGTGGATTTTTAGAAATAATTGAATTTTCAAAAGGTTTCAAATTAAAATCTTTCAGGGTGGCCACACGTCAATAAAGTCAGTAAAGTCAGAGAAATGTCAGAGAAAAAAATATTTTGTCAGTAAAGTCAGGGAAATGTCAGGGAAATTGATAAAGTCAATCTTGTGGCCACCCTGTCTTTGAAAATTTGAATTTTTCATACTTTTGACTAGGAATTCTGTAGAATTAATTTTTTGACAAAGTTTAATTGAAATTTTTTAGAAATTATTTAAAGTTTTCATTTTCTAACTTATTTAATTGAAGAATTTCCGAAAAATCGAAATTTCTTAAAATTGAATTGTAAACAAAGATTTTTTTCAAAAATTATTTTTAAAAAATTGACTTAAAGAAGAATTTTAGTTGAAAATTCTAGAAATAGATAATCGTAATGATGAAAATAATTTTTGAAGAAGTTACAGTAACAAAGTAGCAAGTTTTAATTATTGTAAAACATGAAGAAAGCGATCACTCCGAGTCTTCGACTCGGAATGATCGATATCTTCATGTTTTATAATAATCTTCTTTTTTTTACCTAATATTCTTCTATATTATTGAATTTGAAATTTTTGAAAATCTTAATTTCTATATGAAAAAATAATAATGATTAAAGATTTATTTAAAAATGAAGTTATTGATGTTTTCGAATAATTTTCGTTTTAAAAACCTGGAAAAATTCCGTTTTTTAACCTGGAAAAGTCAGGGAATTTGAAAAGAGCAAAAGCGTGACAACCCTGATTATTGTGATCCTTGTAATAATTATCTTTCCACTTTCGTTGAAAAAAACTAATAATTGTAAAATATTTTCAGGCTCAAGGTGCATTAAACAATTGTGTCCTCGGCAATACAACAATATTCGCAGAATCTCCTGGTGACAGTGAAGTTCACACTTTATTGCAGCAGTTAAGTCACGGCGGTCAACAGCAGACAAGCGCTTCAGGCAATAGCGGTTGGGGTCTTCGACCAACGAATAAAACAGCTCAACCACCAGACACTTGGGGCGGCAGTTCCAGTCAATTGTGGGGCGCTCCACCATCGAGCAATTCATTATGGAGCAACGCTGGACTTGACAGCAGCGATCAACAACGAGCAACTCCAAGCTCACTCAATTCGTACTTGCCCGGAGATCTTCTGGGAGGTGAGTTGATGTAGAGTGCAAGACACTTGACCCGAATACTCAGCATGTAAGACAATTTTTTGTGCGACGCAAAAAGAAGGAGAAAAGGACCGTAAAATCTAATTCGAGTCCTTTTCAGAAAATCATATAGCCAAGACACTGTTCGATTTCCTTTGTCTTCTGTGTGTTTTTTTTTGCCAAGATTTTCTTCGCAAAAAAAAGAAAATGTTACACCGATCGTAATCGACTTTTGTGTAATTCAAACATTCGCGAATTTTTTTTTTTTTTTTAATTTATAGCGACTGTTTCTCGCGACGCTCTTTTAAAAATAATTGCGTTACGCGTGGAACGATACAGTCCAAGAGTCTTCTTCTCGAAACGTCAATTACATACACGATTATAGGGACGCAAAAAAGAAAACAAAGTTACTTAAATTTAAGGTACATCCACCACATGAAAGAAAGGCCCCCCACTCACCTCCCCGAAATATTACACAAACGGAAATGAAACAAGTCACAAAGAACCGGCTAATTTACGACACTCATCTACTTACTATGGTTAGATTTCATTTTTCCGATTGTGAAATAAAGTGGTGGATATACTTTACTGTTTCGATGGAAGCTACTGTACCGCTCTACTCGATATTTTTTCTCTTTTTTTTTTTTTATTTTTTATATAGCTCTAAATGAAAGTGTGACGATAATGAATAAAACATTCTTTTTTTTGAGAGAGAGAGAGAAACGAGAGAGAAGTGCAAGGGGGTTTCCATTTAGAGTCCAAGGCCAAAGGTCTCTGATCGTGTCAACGAGTGTTCCATTATAATTTTTTTTTCTTTGCTGGATAGTTTGAAGACTGCAGCGAGTATCAAACTTAGACTGTATCAATCTAATCAAAAGAAAGAAACCTTAAACAAGCATTGACGTCGCTGTCACTACCGGCTCAGGTGTGTCGAATCAACGACCAAACAAAGAAAAGTGAAAAGAAAAGTATAATTAATAAAACTTAAATCTAGCCGGTCGGACAACGACGCAACGATACCAAATGTTATCGCAATAACGTAAATTTTATTCTATATTAAATCTAAATGCCACCTGTCGTGCCAATGTCCAGTGTATTTCTGTACCATTTATTAATGTAGAGTTTAATTGATATTATTGAACGCGTTAAGCGGCGGGGGAAACGATAAAAAATAACAAATATTAACTAAGAGAAAAGAGAAAAAAAATGAAAAATGAAAAAAAAGTAATAATAATAATGTTGCGCTTGAATTTGAGTCAAGTAGTGGTGGCATTAAGTACTGGCCGGTATAATATTAGCGCTATGCCTTCCTACGAAGATCACTTTTACGAAAAAAAACAAAAACAAAGGGATCAAAGGTTGCAACGTGAGAATTTCCAATTATTAGAATGACATATTAATTAACAAAAAAGAAAATTAATTTTTCGGGATATATTCATTTATATTTTTGACGTGGACAAAAATCGATTTAATTGAATAGAACATTATTTTATAATTTTTTATTAATATATACAAATATATATCTATATATATATATAAATTCTCGAAAAAAAATATCAATTTCTAATTAATTCGCTCAGTGTCAGTAGACACCTAATTGACTGATTAAAGAAAAAATTTTCTTCATTCTCACATGTTACTTTGTAACTACTAAAAAAAAAATTTTTTTTCCTTTTAATTATTTTTACAAAATAAAAAAAAACTATTTTTAATTATCAGAGAGGAATTTTCTCGTTTCGTCCAGTCAGTTAAAAAAAAAGAAACGAAAAACATTTTTTCCTGGAAATATTTACATTTTAACACAAAAAAAAAATTAATAAATAAACAAATTTTTTGCAAATATTGAAAAAAGATTGTACTGCTGTACAAATAGTAGCATTGAAAATGAAGTTAATTTTTTGTTGATAAAAAAAAATAAGAATTGAGTTAAAATTGAATTAATTGATGATTAAAAAGAAAAATGATTAAATTATTAAATTTTTCAATTTAGTAGAAAATAATCAACGCCGCCTATACACGTCGTTCTTGTAAATATATAACAATTTTCTTACGTGCATATAAATATGAATATTATTGTATAATTGCATTAAGTGTTTTAAAAAAAAGTGCACACGTTTTTTTTATTTTTTTTTTATTTGTTTTTGCTTGGGGTAAAAAATATTTTTAAAAATAAAAAAACGAAAAATACACTTGGTAATGTGTTCGTGAGTGCATCACAAAGTACTAATTTCTAAGTACTTTATACATAATTAATTGAAATATATATTATATATATAAATTATATAAATATATATTATTACTATTATGATGATTATTATTATTATTATCATTATTAATATTATTATCATTATTATTATAATTATTATTTTTATTATAATTATTATTATTTTTATTATTATTTTTATTATTATTATTATTATTACTATTATTATTATTATTTTTATTATTATTATTATTATAATTAATATTATCATTATTATTATCATTATAAAGATAATATAGAAATGATATGAATTTCACAAGCAACCTTTATTCCTGTCGCAAGAATGATAATTCACAATTAAATCCATATTATATGTATAACGACTAATGAGCTCTTAGAAATTGAAAAAAAAATCTAATGGCTCTTTATAGATGTAGGTGTTAAGGTACCGCGTAAGTGTTTTAACTATATTTTAATGTTGATAAAGGTCAATATAAAAAAAAATTGCCTGATCGAGTCGTGCGAAGGTTGTAAGGTTTCTTTCAAATAGTAAAACAAAAAAAATAACATTTCGCGTTTTCAACTAATTAAAAACGCGACTGGATAGATAACAAAAGAAAAAAACAACAAAAAAAAGTAAGAAAATAATAGCACGTGAGAGTAAAGTATTTGAGTGCGTGGCCGCTCGTGGATGAGATATATTTATTGATCGAATCAAAGACGATGATTAACCTTTCTCAGAGCAAGTAGGAAGATATTTGTTGTGATAATAATATTGAATTTAGGCACTTAGGGAGTCTCTTACCAAGAATTAACTCTTTTACCAACGTTCAATTGATAATTAATGAATTTAAAGAAAAAGTTAATAATTAAATAAGCGGTTGGCAGAGACGTTGAGAAAAAGCGAAAAAAGAAAAAAAAAAGGTAGGAGGAGGTGACTTGATTTACTTTCGTAATTTTAAATTCAGTAATGAAGGAATAATTATAAATTTTACTAGAATTGTAAATTTTGTTGTTATTTTTGTTTTTACAAGGAATATTTAATTTTGTGAGAGTAAATTAAAGGTGAAAAAAAGGAGAAAAATTGTAAAAATTAATTTTACTGTCTACAATATTCAATTTACTGTGTAGTTTTGTATCTAATTTGTTTGATCTGATTGATTTTGCTTCGTTTTGATAGAAAAATAGTTTTTTTTTTAATAATTATCTTCTTCTTTTTTTAATCTTCAATACCTCCTCCAAGTTCACGTAGATAAATATTATACTTTTTAGTATCGATTAAGGAGAGGAAACAATACGATTTTTAATATTAATATATTTATAACGAGCTATTAGTTTATTATCTGTTTTATTATCATTTGATTAATTTTCTAGGTTTTACCCTCTTAGCGAATGTTGTTTCATTATTGAATGTTGTGAAATATATATGCGGGTAGCTTGGCATGCGCTGTATGTTACACACAAAAAAATTTTACACACAAAAAAAAGTAATAATGAAAAACAATACACAAGTACACTTGAGAGAAAAAAATCCACCACGTAAAAATTACACACCACTTCTCTGATTTTTTTTACAATAATTTTGTCTACTTTTGTATATATTATTTATATTTTGTAAATTTTTTTTAGACTACACTTTAGAGGAAAAAAGTATTTTGTTTTTGAAAATATTTTATAATTGTATTTTATGACAGTATTTTGTTGAGTTTTTTTTTTTTTGTTTCTTTGTTAGAAAAAAAACAATCGATCAATTTTTTAATGCCAGAGAAGAAAAGTTGGTTTTTTTATTTTTACGTGGAACATTTGCACAAAAAGAATACCATACACGTTGATGTTACATTGGAATCAATCATATCATACAAGATCTCAAAAAAAATTTACACTTCGAATATTGAAAAATGATATTTTAATATTATAATTTAATATTCAGTATCAATATTAAGAGAAAGGGAAATATTCGAAAGTTGTAAATTTTAATATTTCTAATAATATTTGTGCATAATGAGAACTTGTGATGCTCATCTCCAATGTAAACAGCTTCTAGAGAAAAAATTGAATAAGAAAAAGAAAATAAACAAACGTGTCACAAAATGGAAAATAACATTTTTAGATAAAACAAAAAAAAATTACGAATTAAAGCAAGTAGGGAATTGTGGTATGAATTTTTTGGTATATACCACCAGTGAAATCCAGTTTTCCATTAAGCGTAAATTTTTTAAAAAGAGATAACGAATTGTCAAAAAACAAAATATTAAAAAAAAGCAAGAAAGCAAAACACATTTCACTCTCCTATTTTTCGAAAACTCTTCGAATATCAAAGCTAGGTTCGATCGCTTCTTTTTCTATTAAAGACCAAAAGGAAATAGGGGGAATTTGGGATGCATCGGTTTTTAACGAAGAAATGAACAAAGTGACGGTTAATATATAATGTCGAGGGTACGACCGTAATCTATATGCATACGTATACAATATTGTAATTTAAAAAAAAATAGCGTTTAAATGAAAAAGGAAAAAAAAAATACCCGCGTTTCGTGCACTACACTTAAGGGTTTAGGGGTTTCGGAGGCGAGGGCGGTAATCTTAGGGTTTAAAAATTAATTTAAGGATTAAGGTTTGAAAAAAAACACACCTACAATGTGATATTCTCGTGTCTTGTCTGACGAGAGACGTTGTTCTAAGATTATAAAATAGTTGGCGTTTGTCTTGTAATTTTTAAGGGACTATTTAAACACCACACATACACACATTCACTCACACACTTACAAAAATACTACATTTCGCGGCATGAAACATAGAAAAG